CGTGCGCCGAGCAGCATGAGGTAAGACAACAACAAAAATATGGTGCATGTTTTCATTTTTTGTTGTACATTTTTTTGTTTAATTAATTACGCGATAGCGTCAAACAAAATGAAAAGTTTCATGTACATTTTAATTAAATTTACGAAAATTTCGAGAGATTTTGCACTTGATTCCTGGATGTGGTCATTTAGTGAGATCACGCACACACACACACACACACACACACAAATTACAATTTCACGTCACGTTGCAATGTGCGCGCCGTGTGTGCGTTTTGGATGAGGCGAGCAACGCTTTGAATTCAATGATATTTGTATATGCAGAGAGAGAGAGAGAGAGATATTGTTAGGTTTCACTTTCATGTTTGGACATATTTCATCGCCCGAAACCACAAAACCACCACGATCGTAAACAATCAGCACACATAAAATGTGTGTGTGACTTGTGAATTGAATTTGCAAAACTTCACCCAGGCGAATGAGTGCGGCGCATTGCTCTATCATCTCGTAATCCTTTTGTAAATTTATGCCAAACTCTGAATAAATACAATTTTGCGATACGAAAATTAGTTTGACAAGGAGAAATAAGAGCCAGTGCGAGCATAGAGTAGCAACTCAGCATAGAACTGGGTCAACATGATAAACTGATTCCAAAGTGCGAAACAAACGAATTTCCGAGAGTGAGCGAGAAGCAGCGAGATACAGAGAAAGAGCCAAGAATGGCGAAATGCGAGAAAAAAAAAACCAACAATAACAACGACGACAACGACAAGAAAACGTCAACTGCTGCAAAACAACATAACAAACAGAAACGGATTACAATTCCAAAAGAGAATTACATTTGTTTAAATGCTTTTATTGCTCAACTGAAATGAGTATGTTAACAATTAAAGTTTTTTTTTTATGTACGTACACCAGTACAATACAGTTGGTATCTTTTCGTTGTTTTATACATAAACGAAGTTATGCTTGTTATGTTATGGTTTTTTTTTTCGTGTTATATGTTGAAATCGAAAGTGCTCTTGGATCAATTGAACTTGATTCGTATGAGGTTATTTTGTTTGCTCTTCGACGTTAATCAGTTCTGCTGCTGCTGTTTCTGGCTTGCCGTACCTCAGATTGGCGCTTGGCTGTTCTGTTGGCACGAATGAGCGAACAAGTGTGCGTGAGCACGAGCAAACGCAATTCATCTTAATTGGTTAGTTTTCCGACTGAAATAGGCAAATTTTCCGCTTCTAATGAGGTGAATTGTTTGTATGTTTCTCTGGTGAACCTATCAGGGTAGTTACATTTACAATACGCATCTTATGTGGAAACCGTCGTTGAGCATTTTCGTAATTGGTGCGTTGTTTTACCCATTTTTTGCTCCATACCTTTGTGTTTATGCCAAATATTTTCCATAACATTGTTATGAATTTGAGCCAATTTTTTTTTCCGTCAGCTAATTTGATATAGAAACCACGTGGTGACGATTTGAAGCTGTGAACTAAGCATTTCTGTCGAAATGGTTAGGTATTTGCCGCTGTTTTGCTTCGAACTTGATGCGTAATCCAAATGAATTAAAACAATTTTAGTCCATGAATTAGACGGATTAACGGCAATGGCAAATAGTATTTAGCAGAGGTTAAGGTAGACGACATAAACGTGTGTGATTTTGCTTGCTTCGCATAGCTGACCAACCCATTTCAATCGATATGCCCAAACTAATAGTATAAACTTTGAAATAGCATCCACACACACACACACACACACACACATCATCATCATCAGAGACATCATCAGAGACATGTAAAACCGATATTCTGTGGCTATAACGACCGTTTAACACGGCCAGAAGAAGTTTTTCATGTTATTTATTCGAAACATAAGCATTTTGGTACGATGAAATCCATTTGATTTTGAAAGCCAAAGGAGATGTCACACATGGCATGGTATGTGTATATGTGGCGAATGATTAACCTACTGGCTCTGTGTACGTGTTTGATGCACTTTGCAATCGATCCGCAGCAGCAGCAATAACAACCATAAAGGAGCGCAGCATATGAAGAGAAGGCTAACGGCGCGATGCGTTGTTAAAGAAAATCATCCGAAAACAAGTTTCAATTTGGTTTTATTTGTAATTAATTCGAATTCGTGACATTTATAAGAACTTGCATTGATAGAATGTCTTCGATTTTTTACCGAGAAAAAACGAGCTGGTGTTTATTTTAGAGTTTGCGAACTTGAAGTGGCGGAGCTTATCAAATGAAGTGATTGGCAAACCCATTAATGCCAATACAACCGAATTATCGATCATTGCATGTTTTGTTGCTCTTTTTTTCATATGTGTGTTCGCCTCAGCTCAAGACACCAAATGCACATTTGAGCGAATTGTCTGTCAGAGTTCTTGTAAATGGTTTCAATCCGTGAAAGAACGAACACAACAAACGAAGGTGAACATTTTATGCAAATGAATCGACATCGAAATAACACTCGATGTCTGCACATAAGATGCACTTTTTGAGTGAGGACCAACCAATGGATTTGCGGTGTGATGAATATGAGTGTGTGTCTTTGAAATGTGATCAAGATTTTTATCTGGGATTTGTGCATTGAGAAAAAATTGTTGCCAACTATTAAGAACGAAACAAACAAACATGCATGAACAAATAATAAAACATTGCGACACATGTTTGCCGCGAACAACAACAGCGAACAAAAAAATCACCACTTTGGATGTATTAATTGCAGCCAGTCGAGTGACGTGTGTGTGTGTGTGCATGCATGTGCATTTGGAATGGGTTCATCAGAACTTGTTTGGACATAAAGCATGAAGTGTGTGATGAGCATTTATCAAACGAAACTGTATTCCGTATGTGTAATTAATTAATAATAAAGTTCTTGTGTGTGGATTGCAGAAAAAAAATATCGCACACCATGCCATTTTTTTTCTTCTCTTTGTAAACAAGCATTCGGCAAGCTTTGATGGGGATTGAAATGTGTGCTGGGCGTTTGATTGTGGAGCATGTGCGCGAGCACACGCGATTCAATGAATGAAGCAATAGCGGGTACAACGTTGTAAGCGGCGGCATTCAATGAAAATGATGATTATAACGGCAAAAACGATGACGATGACGATGACGACGATGACGACGACGACGACGACGGACGATGCTGCAAAAGATGCGGTACAATGGCTTCTTCTTCGCTTCGTCATTCAGTGAAACTGTATGTTATGTATTTTCGGCGAGTAAGTGAGTACGCAAGAGATTCATTGGTCTCAATGTCGGCCTTTGCTACACACACACACACACACACAACACTGGTCTATGCCTGTTTTTGGGCAAAAATAACGTGCCGCACATTGCACAATAGTAGAACCATAGATCTAAGTGCCACACCATCCGAGATCGATACGCAACGACCGAGAGGGAGAGAGACAAAAGAAAAAATCACATCGCGTTCATCGTATATACTATATTATCGTATTTTATCTGTCTCTCTCTCTCTCTCTCTCTCTCTCTCTCTCCACACACACAATTTGCTGCTGGTGGCTGTTGTTGTTGCGCGTGGATTCGCTAAATAAGTAAACTTTGATTCTCATTGACCTAGTGGGGAAATTTTCTATGTGTACACTTTTTTCGTGTGTTTTTTTTTCTTGAATAACTCTTTATGCACCGATTAAGCACAATAGAATCACATGTGTGCTATGCGAAACCGATACATGGATAACCAAGAGCCTTTATATGTTCTAATATTGCGTGAATGCGAAATATACACACACAAACACCGATAATGATGCTCGCTACTGGCTGTTTGATCGATGATATTGCATGCACATTGCACACATATCCGATGCGCTGACACATCATCGATTTTTATTTATGTCACAAAATGATATTTCATCGCATTTAATGAAAGTTAGATAGCGGGGCGATGAAAAATGGTCGATCATTTCGATCAGATTATGAGAGTGATAGAGAGGATTCGCGGTATTCAGAAAGGTTATTTATTATACAATATACATGATTCGAGCTATCTTTTTTTATGTCATTTTTTATCTATATATAAAATATATTATCACGATGATTCTGGTTACTACACTTTTCATCATTTCATTCCATTATATTTTTTACTTTTGTTCATTTTTATCGGTATTTAAGATTTAAAAAAAGCGATGAGGTGTGAAATTCTCCACTCATTGTGTGGATATTTTATTGTTTAAAGTGAGAGTTCGTTGCCAGTAAATCACTTCAATTCAAGAAGCAAAGCATAAAATCAAAGCAATCTTCTTCCCGAATCATTAATCCAGAACACGTTTTCATGTGTTTCGTTTCTCTTCCGCATCCTAGCTCATATGTGACTTGAACTATTTGGATCATTTGGAGTGACAAAAAGCAAGTGCTTACGATCATTATTATTTTTAGGCTCTTTCATTTTGGTAACTCATTTTCAACCAAAAAACATATGATCAGGACTGATTTTTGTTTGTTGAAATGAAAATATTCTGAGCTGTTTACTCACTGGTTTCGCTAAGAAGCAGAAAAAACCAACAGTAATTTTAATCAACTGCATTTAGAAACAAATACTGCAAAATATTTGCATTTTCCTTTTTAAACCGGTTTAAATATTCGTCTAAGAGTGCTCAGCTCATGGCTGCAACATCGATTTATTACGAATTGTTTTTTCTCGCTTTTTTCACGTGTTCGATATAGATTTTTTGCGCGTGTGCGCGAACGAACGATCGACCAAACGAATTGTAAATATTATCTAATCCAAATGGGTTTGATTTACATGTGTTTTACTCTTTGCAAAATGCACAATTTGATTGAAGACACATGGTTGCACGAGGCACTTAAAGAACAACAAACGTAATTAGTGTGAATGTGAATTGAGATTTAAAAAAAAAAGCGCATATGAATCGAATGCATATTTGGAGCGTTAAAAACGAGAGCGATGGTTGTGCAACGCTGTACACGGTGTTTGTATTTCATCGCAGTGCATTATGTCGGTGGTACTTACTATTATTAAATTTAGCTCCATGTGATATCAGCATCGATAGTGGTGTCGGGCCATTTCGTCGAGTATCTGGCGGTAATCCAAATATCTTGTCTCTTGCAGTTTGTCCATATTTTAGATATTGTTTTTGTAATCCCATAATTAAAATATAAAATGTTTATCCAGTTGAATTGGTTGTTGTTGTCCAAGGTTTGGCGTCGGTCTGATGCCAATGAAATCCGTTGCTGGCGAACGGATGGAATTGGTTGTTGCGCGTGTTTGTCTCTGATTTAGCGAGAATCTAAAATTAGAGAAAAGAAAGGGAATAAACACATTAGCATTCGATTGAGGAAAATACGCTACGAATATCTATCATTTGTTGATCAACATTGAGTAAAAAATCAAAACGAAAAAAAAACCAAATTCTCTAGGATAAATCGAAATTAATTCAATGCAATAAATCGAACTAATTGTTGATGATATTGTTGAAAATTTCCACCAAAATTCATCGCATGATTCCACATATCGATTTTACCACGCTCGTTATCGGCTTGCGATTGCGAGCAATTGAGCGAACATGAAATAAACTGAACAGAAAAAAAAATTAAAAAAGAAAATCATTGACCCAGTTATCAATCGCTTATCCATTGCCTTCCGTCGTTTCTTCTTTAATATTGCATTCAAATTCGAAACGGGCAAATACACACGCACGAGCTCGAGCGCCATTTAATATCGGGCATTTAATGTGCATTAGCCCCGACATAGACAACAAACATTGGCTACTTTGTACCAAATGCGATTAACTAATTTATTTGTAAATGACTTAATCACCATCATCCACTTTTCGCTTCACTATGTTCGTGCTATTATTCAATATGGAAGAGAGAGAGAGAGAGAGAGAGAGAGAGAGAGAGAGAGAAATGAATGAATTTCAAAGACGATACCAGAATACCGAGTCTGAATACTGATGGTGCTGTTTCCACAGCAAACCGAATTCGCTTGTTGGGGGATTGTTTCTTTTCATGCTCATTTGCAGGAGACCATCCATTATATGGTTTGTCTATAGATCGTGCGCCAATTCAAAGCCAATCGACCAAAATAAAGTCATCACCATAGATTGTGTTAGTGTTTCTTCATACGTCTTCTCCGTCTCTTGATGATAAATGTTTCTTGTGTGTGCTCTCACACTGGTGCATTGGCTTCGGTTTGGATTTGATGTGTTGGCTGTTGTGAGCAGCGCAACAGCCGTCTCGGTAATTACAAGAAAATGTGCTTCTTTCATTCGCGTTCGGATGATATACATGCACACGTTTCCGAGATAGCTTGAATGCCATTGATCAACGGTTCGCTCTTTTCGCCTTCTTCTTCTTCTTCTTCACCTCTTGCATCGCGACGCGTACAAACTAAGCAAAATCAAATATTATTAACGCATTGCCGGAAACATTTCACGTATCAACTGAAATCGATTCCAAAACCGCGTGAAATTATTCAGCTTTGATTTGTTTGTTTGTTTTTTTTTCTCTCTTCATCCTCATCTCATGCTCGCTTCTCGACTAATTAACCGAAATTAAATGATCAATGATATGAAATTATGCGATAATTATGACTCGCCTCGTCAAAGTTTTTGGATTTTTGTGCTGGATTTTCAGTTTTCAGTGTCATTCAATAATCGTGCGCTCCGAGGGGAAACCGAAACACACATCATGAGCCAATGCGCGAAACAATCCGACAACTCAACTGTAGTTATTTTTTTTCTTCTTCTCTTCATGTTAAATATCAATTTTAATTTGCAGTTCGCCGTATCGATCGGCTACGAAAAGACGAAAAAATAACAACAACACACACTGCGTACGCATTGCATAGTGGTGTTTCCACGGAAAACACTTAAAAATGCTATTTATCTCAATTATTTCACGTTAAAAGCTTACCAATCACACACTCATTTGTCAAGAATTTGCAATTATTGAGATATGGAATTATGCGTTAATCAGTTATGAATGTGTACAATTTCACTCGAACTTCTGCTGAAATTTTCAATTTTCAACGAAAATAACTTCAATTTTAACGCGCAAAAAAAAATCGGAACAACATGAAAGACGAAACGACAACGAGAGACAGGAAAACGCATGTGAATTTGGATCGTATGACGTCTGCACAATACACACACACTTCATTTTGGCATCATTTCAGGCAATTTGTCCAACGCAAATATTGTTGGCAAGTGTAATAAATAAAGATAAATGCTAAAAGTTTTCATAATCGCTCGTTAAGGAGGAGATCCCACGCCAACAAAAAAAAACGAAACAAAACGAACGACGAACCCTTTTGTATCGCCTATTTGTCTTCAGAGAGTGAAAAAAATGTGCAATCACAATCAATTACTGTCAACAACAATATTCGTCTGCATTTGTTTTCAGCCGGCATCTTTCGTATCCATGTGGAGCTTGCAAGCGTAACGACAACCGCAATCAAGTCATTCGTTGTAATTCAACAAGAACTTCATTAAGAAGCCAAGATATTTCTTTTGTTTTTTGTTTGTTCCGAAAGTGGCTAAGGGTTGAGTTAGTTCGATTGCGTTGGTTTTTCTTCTGTTCACGCAGTAGTTTACCGGATTTCTGATACGATCACTCTCACTCTGGATTCTGTGATAACTGATTGAATTCCGCATTCTCTATCTGATGGTTCAACAGTTCCATTGCACACCGGGTGAGTTATCGTGTTGGATGCGCTTCTTTTTTTCGAAAACAATTGATTCGACAGCATTGATTATCCTTCATTGATTTATAATCATTGATTTGTAAAAATAAACGGTCGTCGGAATGAAATAATATATATCTTGGATCTGAGTGCAAACTATAAATACGTAGAACGTTGACGTTGCACTTTTAAATATGTTTTAACCCTTTATTAAAAGCTGTGAGTTTGCTCTCCGAATTATCATTTATTGAATATACTCCGTTTTTTATTTTCAATTTTCTGTGTTGTGCATTGTTGGTTTTGATCTGTTCGTTATCTAGCTGCGAGCAATTACAATATTGGCAGTGTGCCCGAGCCTACATAATTCAATGAATTTCAATGCCATCGATAATTTACGATAATGATTAGTTACAGTAATATATTCGGACTATCACTATTATTACCCACAATTGCACCATATGAATTGTTCCCCGTTCGATGTGTGTATTTTCTGAAATCGGAGTCGCATCGACTGGGTCACAAAATATGGTTTGGTAAGAATGATATCAGAGCACATGATTTAGTTATTTTTGTCGTGTGTTTTTTTTTGTCGTTGGTTACTTTTAGCCGCATTTAAAATGGGCAACACAAATTATTGGCACATCTTACAATGTAGGCATTGTGTGTGTGTGTGTGTGTGTGTGTGTGTGTGTGTGTGTATCATGTGAGCAGCACATAATCTGGAAGAAGAAGAAAAAATCACTCAACTCCATACATTTTAATGAATCCAAATAGCCATTTCTTTCCCTCTCATGCTACATGCACACAAGCCAAACCAAGCCAAGCCAATCGATCTGGTCGCAGCACTAAGGTCAAACCCTATCTCAAAAGCGTAAAAAGCACGACTGAGTACGACAATCATTTTATTCAGAAAAAAAACCAACCAATTCATTACTGATCATTTTCTTCTTAATGCGCACCGGATGGCAGACACATACACACATACAACACGGTACAGCAAATAAGCGAAACCAAAATCATGTTGATTTGTTGAAAATTACCACTCATTCGGATCGATATCGACTTAATTATACACATGATTGGGACAACAACAACAACAACAACAAAAAAACTAACATCTAATTCACACAATCAACACATTCGATAGGTTTTTTATTGTTCATGCTTTAGTCTTGTGCTGCTGAGCAGAGGTAATTTTCAGGTGCCTTTAATTGATTGTGATTGATACTCTAATAAATTAATATTTTAATTATATCCACAGACGATAGCGTTTTGTAATAAAAACAACTATTGGGCATATGGCCAATTATTCCATTTATTTCGATAAATTCTAAGAATCTTAAGAAGTTGTGTGGTCAAATGGCGGCGGTGAATTATGATCCGCCTCGGAATTCTCAATCGCAACGGTTTGTGGTTTGAAGTGGTGCGACAAGTGCGCGCTCGTTCGTGCGGCATTGCACATTTGTAAACAACCAACACACAACTGATTTGTGTACATTGTGTTGAACCCATTTGCAAACAAGACACTTGGACCCAAATTAAATTACCCGTCAGCCATTTCTAATGAATAAAAAAATGTATGATTTGAAGTTTGAACAGAAGTAATTGAAAAAAAAAGTCATTTTTTCCGTAACCTCAATTACCCTGACAGTGATTAGTTCAGTGGAAGGCGATAAAATCCTAGTTGATGAACAATTGCGTTGTTACAAACTGCGCCGTTAATTAACATCATTTTTGACTACTTTTTCTATTGCCGCGAAAAGTTCTGTATTTTTATTACTTTGTGTACAGCATTTGACTTTGACAAGAAAACAGCACATTTATTCCAGGCTGAGTAGTGAGTTATCTTCTCTCTCTCTCTCTCACTCTTATACATTCCGATCAATCGTCCAATTTGTAATGTGGTCTAAAACCTGAAATGCAATTGCACAACGGGCAAATAAAGAAAACACACTCAACATGAAATCGTGTCTTGTTTTTTTTTTCTTTCTATAATTTAAGTTGACGTTGATTGTATTTTATGAAGCGATTCAAAATGATCGTGCAAATAGCGAAGTGTCTGTTAGAATCATTTTAAACGACAATAATAATCGCATTATAATATGTGGATAATTTAGCATGCGAAGGAGAGGAGAAGAAGAAAAAGTAGAAAAACAAAATTATCACTAGCATCCGAAAACAATGCTGAAAATCCAAAGTAGACATCAACAATTCAGAACAGAACAAAGAAGGAAAACAACACACAGAAAAACAAAGCAGCCGCAGCAAAAGATCAACAACACAAAAATAACACAAACAGAACGGTTGAACATCGCAGGAGCATGATGAAGAATTTATGAAAATAAAAACAAAAAATGAAGAGTATATTTGAACGCGTGAGAATAAAAGACTGACGCTAGCAGGTTTTTCGCAAAAGTGGGATAACAATCAGTTGCACGCAAAAGAGACATTTCAAAAGGTTACACGCAAACAGAACATTTTATTTTGTCGCATTTTGAATTTTAAAGCCGTGATTACAACAACAATATACTTCTCTCTTGCGTGCAACCTTTTGAAATGTCTCTTTTGCGTGCAACTGATTTTTATCCCGCTTTTGCGAAAAACCTGGTAGCGTCAGTCTTTTATTCTCACGCGTTCATTTTTCCTTTTGAATAAAATATATTGCTGTGATAGCCTTGTCGATTGCCTGCGGCTGAAAAATACCCATTTTTTTGTGTTCTCGCACAACAACGGGTTTTTCATTATCTTCACTTCATTTATGCTCGGTGCTAAGCCTCCGATTCACTTTTTTTTCGTCGTCTTTGTCGTATTTCAACTACATATTTGTGTGTCTCTCACTCTTGCTGGGTTCTGGTCGCGTGGTTTTTCTTCTTTGGCCGCAAGCCAGTTGAAAGTCCGAAAAATCATGAACACAAAAAAAAACAACAACGGCAATAACAAGAGATAAGAGTGATGTTGCGAAATATGAGATGTGACACATTCACTTCGAAGCAACCGTGGATGAATGTGTAATAAGAATAACACAGTGCAAATAAATAAAAAAATAAACTTTTGAACTTGAAAATTACATAGCGAAAACAATGCAATTGCAATTCTCTCTCGTCGACAGTAGCCGCTTAGCTACTTTTCTTACGCCAATAAGTTCACATTCGACAGCGAGCGTGCGCGCGCGCGCCCACCAAAATGAAAGAGAAAAAAAGGTATAACACGAATGCAGCAATAAACAATGATTAACCGGCTGGAATGCTTAACCCATTTTCTACCAAGGTGCAAAAGTGGGTTCGAAATAAGTAACCAATAGACTAGCATAATTTTCACCTGGAAACTCCGAAAAAACTGTCATATGGAAAATTTTTGTTTTTCCGGAAAATGGATTTTACGGAAAACCATATTTTTGTAGGCTCGGAAAATTTATTCGACAATTGACACATAGGCTACGTGTGTGTTTGTTTTGGAATACTCTACCGAGTTCTATTGAACTGAAATGCAAAGGTAGCCTGATTGATCGTTTGGATTGTCACATAAAAATGCGCGGTTTTCAAATTGGTACAGAAATTTAATTTTTGTGTGCCAATTCGGAATCGGTGTATTTCTGTGTGTCAATTTAGAAAAATGAGTCATTTTGAAAATGGCTCGTTTTTTTGGTTTCCAAATTGACGCACAAAAATTAAATTCAGCGCACTTGCGCTCGTATACACATTGCGATCGAACATGCGATTGTTAATTTGAGTGATTTTGTTGATTTGATGATTGTTCGATTTAACTATTAATGATTTATCGAAACATGTGCAACAATGTGACCACCACACACCAATTTTCGTGTATAATTGTTATTTATCTCACAAATCGATGAGTATCGTAGCAAAAAAAACACAACAACGAATTTACGAGCGATGTTAAGTTCGTAGGCAGTACGTACGTATATATTGTTGAATGTTGAAAAAAGACGATGGCGACGGAATTTTAATTTAAAATAGTTATTTATTTGAAAATTTCGAGATAACTGTTTATGATTGCTCTGTAGTTATTTATGATAAAATTCAACTTTTTCTAAATATTGTATAAAAATTGAGATGTTCTTAATCATGAAAAGTTTTATAGTTCGCAGAAAAACCACGATGTTCATGTTCTGTTTGACTTGAAACATATACGATGAACATGTGATTCCCATTTGAAACAATATTTCCTGGGATTTCAGCACCACAGAAACGAGCCAAAAGTGGTGACTTATGCCAATAACCGTCATAAACTTCTAAATAATCGTTTCGGCAATCACTTGAGTTGAATAAGAATGTATCTAAATCAGTAATTTCAAGTAGAATCCGTTCTCCTTTAATGGCTTTAATTCGCCATTCACAATAATATTTACGATTTATTGAATTATTATTGTAATATTGGGGCGAAGTGAATGCACCTTTTTTATCCAAATATGTTCTTCCGCATTCAGGGCATTTATACAATTTCTTCATTTTTCTGATGTCAATTGCACTCAATCGTTCATTTCGACCCATTTTCGGCACAATGCCATTTTTCCCTTTCTTCGGACGAATGGTAAATATTTCAATGACCTCATGCATAATCGAGTCAAAATCGTATGGTTCGCCAAGCGTATCGAACACATCTGGTGAAATTTTTTTGTAAGGACTGTCAAAAAAAAAGGCCCCTTGGACAGGTTTACTTTGTTCGATTTCAATATAATCATCACGATCAGGCCGTTGATGTTCATGATGAAATCCAATTACATGCCCTATCTCATGAATAATACCACCAACGCCACCGCAATTGGTGACCCCTACAACTTGACGATCACCTATATTGCCAATATCTGAACAACAAGTACATTCTAAAATTTTTGTAAATCGTATATAGTCCTCATGCTCAATTGGATGTCGTTCAACAAAAATGATACATGTAAAAAATTCCCAGTGCTTCATTGCCGCCTTAATGTTGTCAATTTGTTCGAAATCAAATCCAGCTGTCATGTCGATTTCGTATGGGATAACGCCAAATTTCCATAACTTCTTCTTATTCATTATCGCCCGCTTCGAACGCACATTTTTGATTTGTGGTGTTTCAACACCTCCTACAGACGATTCGATCGTTTTGTCACTTTCAATCAGCACATACGATGTGATCTCCTGCATCAACACTCCAAATAACACAATCAGAACACATTTTACCCAAAAACTATTATAAAATTGTGCCATTTTGTTGAACCAACACAGAAGTTTCTTTGATGTATCTTACACGTATGCTAAGTTTGAACTGATTTTTCTTCTTGTAAAATTCATTTATTTATAGTGGTGCAATTGAGGATTCAAATACTTTTTCTTAAATTCTGTGAATCGATTAATATTGATTTACCTAAGAAAATATTTTAAACCTCATTTTGTAGAAAATTACTGTAAAATGACCGACGTCCTTAACTAAATACTTTGTTTCTTAATCCCTTCTTTGCTCTCTAATGATAACTCAGAATACATAGTTACAGTGCAAAAAATATTTGGAGAACAAGTTGTCTTGTTCTGTACCATTTGAACACATGCGCATAGGATTATCCGACATGGCGCGGCTAATGAAGTAAGACGGTGATAAGACAGGACCATCTACATTAGTATAAACATATTTACCTCTTTCTGCATTTTCAACTATGCGTTTTTTTATATTCTTGAAAATCTTTCATTTGAAAGCTGTAAAATCTAGATGAAAGTGTCAACTGAAAGGCTTTCCCGTGTGGAAAATTTTTGACTGACTAAAAGTGATTGCCAAGCAACAAAATAAGCAACTGCATTTAACTTTAATCACAAATCACTCTTAGTCAAAACGTCCCAAATTAGTCGACTGACTGAAAGAATAACTGAACGTGATTGTCTCCATACAAAACGCATGATTTCAATCAACTTAGCCAGTTTTAGTTGTGTATCACTACATACAGTTACATACAACTGAGTGACTCGTTAGTCATTTTATTTGCACACGGGTTGTTCCTAAAAATAACGATACAAATATTTTTGATCGTCACTTTGCACTTTTTGCCTTGAGCTTCGACAAAAATTGCGGCTTTGTTAAATGGAGTTGCATACAGACGCCAGGATAATAAGAGTCGCTCCACGTCAGAATGTGCCATCTTTACTCGTCATATATTCTTGAGCACAGTTGACAACCGATTCCGATACAATATTTGTGGTCGCGTGTGTTATCTTGGCATAAAAATAAACGCGATTATTCAGCGCACCGACCATACAGCGGGCCCGTTAATCGCACATAATTCATATGGTGTGGTTGCATCTACGTAGAACGATATAACCGTTCGAAACCTGATCTTTAAGTTTTGGAACAAAAAAAAAATTCCGGTATAAATTTCATCGATTGATTCATTCACGTTCTATTTATAACAAAACACACGAATGGAATTAAATGGGAAATCATTGAAAGAAGAAAAAAGCAAATTCTGAAAGTGAATGTTATGAAATGACTCATCCCGAAAAAAAGAGTTGATTCTATCAATTTTTTTATTACTCAATATTTCTTAAATGGGTTTTTTCCCCATGAATTACACATTTATGACTATATTGTCGTTGCATTAATCATTCATTGTTTTTCTCCTTGCTGGAATTGATGAATGAGTGTGCAAAATGCTGCAAAACAAGCAACACCACTCATTCCGTTTAATAGTTTTTTTTTCTCTCTCGTCATTTGATTTTTTTAATTGCAGCCGATGACTTTACGTGAGACATGCTCATGCACAGGGCAAAAATCCTGATTCGTATCTCACTTTTGTAATTGGTACGGTTTTTTTCCCCTTTGGTCGGGACTTTAAGAAATCCGTGCAGCCCATATCAAATTTGTTCTAAAAAGTGAACTTCAAACCGGTCAAATATGGCATCGCAGCATTCTCATGATCTAACGGCATTTGGATTGTATAATTGGTGTTATTTAGAAAATTAATCATTGGATAAACGATGTGTTGCCATGTTCAATTGTGAACAAGATGAACAAGTCAAGCCAGATGATCTACAACGGCATTCAGCAATCAATTGCACCGACCGACCAACCAACCAGCGTTATGTATCAATGTACACACCAAGCATTGAGCTTGGCTTGGCCTACCACCAGATTGTTTTTTTTTCGCTGTCTTACACAAACACTTCAAATTCGTTGTGGCTACGATAAACACGTTAGAAATGGCTTGTGTGCATTTTTGACATTTTATGGGCGAAATGAGCGAAAATAGCGAAATATTAAGTAAATACACGGTTGGAAACAGCGCGCTCGCGCACATTTGCGCATACAAAGAAAAAAAGACAAAAAGAACAAGTGATATGCGCAAAGTGTAAACAACTTGGTTACTTTATCACATATGCGAGAGACGTGGAAAAAAAAGAGTCGTATGTATGTTATGCGACATAATGACAACGACGGCTGTAGTCTAGTCAATATCAGTAAATCTCTCTTTGCTTTAGCGAAATAGCTTAGCTCGGTTAGCTAATCGTTTGGCTGGTTCAAGTTGGGAAAAAGCAAAAATCAATTACCTAACCGATACTTCTTCTCGATATTGCGGTTTTTCTATTTGACCATTGTATTGACGATTGGCACACGGTTTGGTGCAAATCGACAAATACACCGCATGCGAGGAGAGTGCGGAGAAAAACACAACCACCGAACACATTTTAAGCCCGCGAGAAAGAAATGAAATAGTTTTATGAATTGTGCACACATGCATTCGGTTAAAACAACGAGACATAAACAAGAGACAAGGAGAATGCACACAAGAACGTGATTTCGAATTGGAATCATATCACGAGGCTCGTTAATCAGTGTGTCGTACTTAGTGTTCGAGGTGTATCGTTCGTTTAGTTCTGATTTGGTACAAAATTGGCTGGCCACTGATTGATCCCATCGAAAATGTGTATGTAACCGGGTGCAATATGCGATAGCGAGCGTGTGATATGATTAAAGGCATGTTGTATTGAGCAATCGTTGTGTCGCAAAGAATCCGAAACGAGACTTCAAAGTCTATCTATTGAATAATATATACTATAAATATCTGTGTACTTTTTCTATTTCTCCTCTGTTTGGTCGGTCGGTTGGACGGCGAATGATTTTCGGTTTCGTATGTTTTCAATTGCATTCAACAAGGATCGCTAGATGCTGGAGCGATGGTGTTTGTGTGCGTGCTTGAATTACGATTTCGTTCACGATTCGCTTCATAGCCAATTCTCTTCATTTGACTATATCGCCGTAGCCACACACAAAACGTACTCATTACCTATTTATTTGCTGTGTCGATATGCAATTTCACAGGTATAAAAATGCGCATGCGCTCGCGCGCACATACATCAGCCGTTCTCGGCCCGTTCGCAACATTGGGATCATTGCAACACTTTGAAACCTCAATAAGTGAATGTAAAATGATATAAACAAACTTGAGATGCTAAAGAAAATTGAAGAGAAACCGAAAAAAAGTCATCGACAAGCGAACAAAAACAAAAAATATAGCGAGAGTGAGAGATGGCGGCCACAATCGGCGTACGCAAACCCAATGCGAGAGAAAGAGCTGATAAACGGCACTTGGTGTTGTAAATTTTCCATATGTATCAATGTGTCCATCTGATTTTAAGTGATATCGTCGTAACAAACCGGCTCACAATTGCTCTGTGCACTGTGCGCTGCGCGAATCATGTCACGACAACACACACACACACACACAAACAGACACAGCTAAATTGTTCGCGTTATTATCATGTCGTTCGGACAGAATGCGCGATGTGTCGCTTAATAATATCGACTACTATTTTTCGCCTCTTCTTTTCAGTTTTCTTTCATAATTTGTTACTTTGCAATCAATACTTCAATTATATTATGTGTGCGCCTGCAGCAGCAGCAGCCGGCCGCTAGGCACAAAGAGTATACGATGCACATTGCCACATGTTTTTGAGTGATTTGGCCAACTCACTAAAAGTGTCACCCAGAAGACTCAATCTTTATTTAGTTTTTTTTGTCGTCGTCGTCGTCGTCGTCGTCGTCGTGTGTTGGCCGATCTTCACGTAAAGCGTATACAATCGATTCTACACTTTTCGAAATGCATTTGCTCGAAGACGGCCAACGAAAGGGAAAACAAATTGTTTTCACAAAACATAAATTCGTGGACGCAGACAAAAAAAGCATAAGAAAATTGATACTGAAACTATGTGTACAAAAGATATGTTGCTGCATCATATTGGTGCATTAGAGACTGCATAGGCATCGAAAACCATTGCAACTGCGACGAGCCACATAAAATTGATATATTATATTACATTCATTATATAATCGATATTTCGCTTCTATCAAAGTCGAGAGGGACCAAAGAAACGAGTAAATTTGCTAATATGCATGTCTCGCGGTCCAACAACAACAACAACAACAACAACAACAGCAGCAGCGACAGCAATAAATCCCTTGTCGCAATACACATTGACTTGATACTTGAAAAATTGAGGTGATGAAAAGCGAAAAGAATGAAATGACGAAAAGAATGATTTTGGAATTATAAATGTAATTACGCGCCGTTTTTTTTTTCATTCGTTTCTGTTTGTTTTGTTTTCTTGTTGGTCACTTTTTTCAATTGAATCGTTTTAATGAATTAAGCCATTCAATTTGACGGGAAGAAATACACAAATCATGGACAACAAGAAGTGGTGGCGTTGAAATTGGATACACACAATTATGACAACAAACGCGTAATAATTAAAAATAGTGTTTTTTTTGTCGCGTTCAAAAAGGCATTTTTATGGTTTAGTCTCTGTTATTGTCTGTGGTATTTTGTTGTCTATTTTCAGCGGTCATTCCATTTTCGTTTCGTTCAATTCACTTCGGATTCGCTTCTTTTTCGCCAATTTTGCGTAATTTTGTGTGCGAGTTTTTTTTTCTATTCTGTCATCATTTCTCATATATACTTGAAACTAAAGCGATTACAAAGCCCAGAAAACAAAACGAGACACTGTTCCAAAACAAAATCCAACTTCCGTTTATTTGTATTGTTGTTGTTATCATTATCTCTCACGTTTATTTTCAGATAAATCGGATTCCAGCCGCAACCACCGAAAAAAACACAATGACCATACAGATTTTCGGCAGATAGCCCGGCCAAAATAAATAATTGTAATTCCCTACGACTGTACTGAAGCCGATGATGGAATATAAATAATAATCAAGTACTAATTGG